GTAGAATTCGTGGATCCTTATAGTATTCTAATTGTCGTATGAATTAGGAATTCCAGGATTAACGCAATTGAATTAAGAAGACACAGGCACAACGAATGTACTGTATTTAGAATTAGAAATCAAACATTCAACCAGTACAAAGGTATCATTGGTTCATTCAAACACCACATCCGCCACAGCTTAAATTGGAGTCTAGGTGTTTGTAATCAATCGTACGTCTTCTTCTCAAATTCATCCTGAGTCTGTCTGACATTGTATTGGATAAGGATTCTGTATTATCTAGAATATGCTCATTAGCATTAGGATTAACAATTGAAATTGGAACTGACTCACCTGGTTCCTGAAATTGTATTTGATCTACATGTCGACTGTGTGTATTTAAGTCATCGATGTCTATAATTCGCACCATCGATTTTCCGACATTCTTCAGAACAATACCCGTAGATGGTCGAAGATCATTTCCTCGATAGTATGTAACTTCTGCAGACTCCAGACATCTCATATTCGACCGAAGAATTCTTCCTTTCAATGGCTTCGCTGGAGTTTCCTTTGTCACCGAATGTTTGGCATTTCTATATTGCAATAGAAAGGTATCTACTCCCCTCTCCATCTCATTAAATGTTGAGGGGGCTATAGAATCAATAGCAGTCTTTAATGTCCTAACAAAATTCTCTGCCTGACCATTAGAACACGGATGTCTGGGAGCAGTAAATACATGTTTGCACCCTATACCGTTCAACCAGGCCTCAGACCATACTGGCCATGGGACCCACTTCGAAGGGTGATTTTTCAACTGATGACATTTCTCACATTTGTTTGCCGTACGACATATATCTGCATTTATCTCTGGCCACCAGCATGTGAGCCTTGCCAAGGACTTCATTTTCTCAACACCTAAATAACCGCTATGAAGATCTTCAAGAACAGATTTACGCAATGAAGGCGGAATGACAACATGATCATTTAAACACAGAATACCATCAGGAGTAGTAGATAACTCATCCCGCTTTGAAAAATAGACAGGAAATCTCCGTTTCAAATTAGCATTCCAACCTTTCCTTATAGCACTGAGTATACATCCAAAATATCTACGAGTTTCTCTAATGAGATCTGAACGTCTCACTGGTAAAGGTTGCACTAACAAACAATCCGAAGTATTGATAGGTTTATCTTGTAATGACTGTCGAGAAATGTAATCAACATGTTTAATCTGTTTGGCACTTCTGTGCTGAACCGTATAGTCATATGCACTCAAAGCAATACTCCATCGCTGAACCATAGCTGCTGAGGAACGTGCTAAGGAGTTTTCGGGATGACAAATAAACTTTAAAGCTTCATGATCAGTAACAATAGTGAATTTCTTTCGGAATAAATATTTATGGAGTCTTTTGACAGCCCAAAACACAGCTAATGCTTCTCGCTGAGTCTGTGAATAACCTTTTTCAGTAACAGCAAGTTTGCGTGAAACACAAATAACTGGTCTACATTCCTGTCCCAAAACTGCATCACTTCCCACAGGTGATGCATCAGTAATAAGCACAGAATGTACATTAGGGGAGTACGTTCGAAGAACAGCATCACTTTGAAGAAACTTCAGCAGACTTCGTAAGCATGACTCTTGTTCCTCACTCCATTTGAATGAATTGGATGTTAAAATATTAAATAAACAATTTGCAAGACAAGAAAAATTAGGAATAAAACGGGAATAGTATTGAAGAGCACCCACTAGTGAACGTAATTCTGTAAGATTTTTCGGAGACTGTGCATTAGTCAGTGGAGCTAGTCGTTTCATATCTGGTCTAAAACCATTACTATCAACTAGGTATCCAAGGCATTCAAAACTAGATACACAAAATGAACACTTATTTGGATTCACTGTTATATTCTTCTCAATTAAACGACGCAATAGAGCAATAAGTCTCTGGTCATGAACTACCTTATTAGAGCCATGAACAATGAGATCATCTTGATAAACTTCAACACCTTCAAGATCACTAACTACTTTATTCATAACTTCCTGAAATATGTCTGGAGAACAACTTAGACCAAATGGAAGGAAATTGTATTTGAACAGACCAAAAGGAGTGTTAATTTTCGTCAAAATAGATGAAGATTCATCTAAAGGAATTTGAAGATAAGCATCTTTTAGGTCAACTTTCGAGAACACTTTAGAACCATGAAGTCGATTTAGAATATCTTCAACTTCTACCGTCGTGCACGTTTGCTTCAACAAACGGGAGTTCAGAATTAATCTATAGTCACCGCAAACTCTAGGGGTCTTGCCGTCCGACTTCAGTGGCGTAACGATAGGAGTACCCCATGCTGAAGACTGAATTGGTTCAATTATGCCTTTCACACACGAATCGTTTAATGTCTTAAGTACTGCTTCTCGAAGACCATAAGGAATTATTCGTCTTTTAAGAAAGACGGGATCACCCTGTACTTGAAGTTTTATAGGCTTAATTTTAATACCTCCACTGCACTTAGCACACACAGCTATCAAATCTTTAAGTAAAGTATCAGAATTTTCTTTAGAAACTAAGAAGGACAACTCCACCTTAAGCCTTTTCAAATTTTTTAAACCCAATATTGACAGTCCTGTTTCGCTAACTAAAAATTCACAAGGCATGTACGAAGAATTATCATCTCTGATTAGCAATTCACAACATCCTCGTATGGGCAGTCTGTGTCCAGTAATCCCCAGTATTAATACTTCAGTGGGTCGTACAACAACGTTAGGATCTAAAGCTTTCAAGTTCTCGAATGAAATAATGGACTCTATACTGCCTGTGTCCAGAATAAAGTCATGAAATGAACCAAGCGATGTATATAATCGCTTCTGAATATGAGCATTACCTTTCGAAATAGTGGACAACGACAAATGATCACTAGAAACATCCGAATTATTGAAATTTAAATTACAAGATTTAGTACAGCTCGAAGCAAAATGGACAGTAGCTTTGCATACTGACTGAATGTGTCCTACCTTACCACATTTAAAACATTTAACATTACGAAATACACATGAATTGCGAGCATGAAACTTTCCACATGATAAACATTTACCAAACTTCATCTCAGCTTTGTGATTTGCTTTGTAATTCCTCGTTGAAACACCTTTCATATTTACACGAGAATAAGAATCACTGTTAAATGAACGCAAGTTTGATTGACCCTGAGATTGTAGTTCATCACGACGACTAAGCAAAGTATTAGAAATCTTCATCGACTGGATATCAAGTTCATTGACTGCTTCGTAGTTAATACATGCAGTTCTAGCATCTTGATAGGAACAGTTTGGCATTCTTAACAGCTCTCTTTCCAAACTCTGTATGTTAATTCCTGCAATTAATCGATCTCTCAGTTGCACGTGAAGTTGATCACCGAAATTACACTTGGCAGCTTGTTTCTGCAATTCAAGGATGAATTCCCGAACCTTTTGGTCATTTTGACAAACCATCTTATGAAACTTCGCCCTTTCACGGCATTCAAAACTGGTGCATTTTATATGACTTAACAATAGCTCTTTAAGATATGAATAAGGGAGTGAGATAGGTTTTTCTGGATATGCCAAAGTTTTTAATAAGCTGTACGCTTCTCTCCCAATGAATGTCAGAAAATGTGCCACAATTTTCTCAACTTTAACATCTTTCTTGGTCATGCTTCAAATTTCGAACCTTTCCAAATAATCCTCAATAGCTTCAGGAGTTGAATGAATATCCAACTTTTCCATTGCAGGTTCCATCACGACGCCAATAAAGTATTCTAATTGTTGTATGAATTAGGAATTCCAGGATTAACGCAATTGAATTAAGAAGACACAGGCACAACGAATGTACTGTATTTAGAATTTGAAATCAAACATTCAACCAGTACAAAGGTATCATTGGTTCATTCAAACACCACAATCCTTCATCCTATTCAATGAATATGACTCTAATCTCTTACGCGAAATGGCTTACAAGCATTATGCGTTCAGTCAAACATGTTTCCACTAGACCACAATCAACTGATATTTTCTCTCAACCTGCCATACGATAAAGTAAACACTTCTTTGTACGTCGCAACTCACTGCAACGACTCCTCAAAACGACATACGGAGGACCCTTTAAAGTTTCTCAGCGTAAACCCAAGTACTATATAATCGATAGGAAGAAAACTAACGACAGAATCTGTATCGATTTCCTCAAAGCCATGTATTTGGAGAGAAACCCTAATCATGTCGATTTTTCTTCGACACAATCGAAAGACAAGAGCCCCGAAATTACGATACCTCACCTGATAATCCACAATCACGATGACACTTAGGTGGTATATGACAACCGACTCCAAACGATGCGTCCTGGCGGAAGAGCAAGGTTTCTCGAACACACAGACAATTACTGCATGCAATACACTACATAACACCGTTTTGCCTCGATATTTTTGTATTGTGTCAATAAAGCAAATCAAACAATTTTTAATATGCCTTTACTTACTGTTTTCATTTTTGTTTTTCACAAAAAACTAAAAAGTCATTCGGCAAGAATCGTTTTTACGCCATTGCAAGTTAATGAAACGCATGTATATGTTTTTTTTCCATTTTTCGCACGTTCTAGGTCTTTATGTTCATATGAGTGCAATTTGGCATGTACTCTAATATGCTTCTTTTCGGGACGGATGGAAAAGTTGAAAAGACCGACGAAGTTTACGATGATTTAAATTTATCATTGTACCCGTTTTCTATTAGTATATGACACCATATGGCCCCTTACAGTAAGGCTTACTTTTCACCTGTCCATTTGACTTTTTAATTTTCAGATAAAATGTCTGAACGAGTACACGTGTGTTCACTGTTCGAAATGTATTGCGCAAATATATCACATAATTCTGATAAACTTCGATTTCTCTTCGCATTATTGAAATTTATCCAAATTGATCGATGATGCTCTTACTATTATTAGACACAGAAGTTCGTCAAGCGGAAGCTTCTGCTATTCTGTACATGACAAAACAAAGCATTTGAACCGCGTTTCTCAATAATGGCGTTACACTTGGTATGTTAAAATGGTTTAAATGGTTGTGGACAAAATAGAAGAAGCTTTCGCTTAACAGGCTTCCGTGTCTAGTAGCAGGGGATCACCAAATCCTCCAGGCAGGAACCTAGGTATGTTAACAATAAAAGAGGAAAATAAATTAGTAAATCATAGTGTGATACTATCCTTAGTCCTTAAGAATAGATCAAGTTGCCTCTTAAAGGACTCCTGGGAAGTCGCTTGAACTAGCTCAGCCGGCAGCGAATTCCAGCATTTGTAAACTCTTAAGGAGTAAAAGTTGTGTCTACAGTCCGTTCTGCTATGTTGTGTCTCCAGTTTTTGGGTGTTACCTCTTAGGTTAGTGTTGGAACTAAGCTTAAGTAGGTGTTTGAGAGGATGTCCAGAAGTGTTAAGGATACTATAAGCCATCAGGAGGTCATCTCTAAGACGTCTATACTCTAATGGGTAAAGCTCTAGTGAATGGAGGCGCTCTTCGTAAGGTTATATGGAAAGTTCTTCCGTCAAACTGGCCAAAAATGCGCTTCAATGTTACCAGTGCAAGGTTTGCTCGGAAGGCATTTTTGTCACAGTTAGCGTAAGACTTTGAATCATAGAGCATCAGGACTCTTAGATCTTTTTCGACTCGGGATATTACTAAAGAGGAGTTTCTTAAGTTATAACTAGTCTGCAACATGTCGCAGATGGACTACTTTACACTTTGAAGTGTTAAAGGTAAGTCCATTATCGTCTACCCAACTTTGAAGTCGAGTCAGATCCTCCTGAAGTGCCTGTATATCGTCTTGGTTGCGTATCTCCAAAGTTTCACGTCGTCGGCAAAAAGTAATAAGTCTGACGTCACCTGTTGAGGAAGATCACTTATGTAGATCAAGAAGAGAAGAGGTCCTAGTACTAAGCCCAAGGAGACCCCACTAGAATATTCCATAGCCTGAGATAAAGATAAATTAACCCTGACCTTAAAATGTCGATTTTTCAGGTATGAAGTGAGCCAATCGATTAGAGGTGGTCTGATACCCACTCGTTGGAGCTTATTGATAAGACATGTATGGTTAACCTTATCAAAAGCTTCTGAGAAATCTAGGTAGATGATATCAACCTTCTCCTTGTGATCAAGGATGCTTGTCCATTTGTCCACCGCAGTCATCAGGTTGGTAATACAAGAGTAACCCTTCCTGAAACCATGCTGTTGGGGTGAGAAGAAATGTAAGGACAGTAAATAGTCATTTATACCATCGCATATCAGGGACTCCATGAGTTTTGAAGGCATGAAGAGAAGAGCCACCGATCGGTAACTTGAAGGTTCTCTGCGTCGACCTCCTTTGAAAATTGGTGTGATGTGAGTCAGCCTCCAATTTTCCGATAGTTTTCCTCGACTTAACGAGTGTGAGAACATCACGCTAAGCGGCGTTTCCAAGATTGAGGCTGCTTCCCTCAGTATGGCAGAATGGACCATGTTCGGGCCGGGAGAAGTGTCTAATCTTAAGTGCTGAAGTTTCTGGTACACCAAGTCAGCGCTTAGGTTCACTTCAGAAAGTTCTGTGGAATTGCAAACGAAACTGTCATCAGTAAAGTTAATATCGGTCGGTTGAAATGTCTGGGAGTAATGTTCAGCCAGAAGGTTAGCGGCGTCGCGATCGTTGTTGGTCGGGCCGTTAAGACCTACCAGTTGGGAAGCTCCAGTTTTGGCTTGACGAAGAGGAGCTGCATAATGTAATAAGCTTTTAGGATTGAAGGCGAATTTGTCCATAAGCTTTGTCTGGTACTGAAACCTATCTTCTCTTATAGCCTTCGTGCATATGTTCTTGATATGTTTATATAGCCTGTACGCCCCGTCGTCAGTTTGTTCGTATTCTGCCCATCAGTGCCTTTTGCGGCTTAGCAGGCGAGGGGTACGGTTATTGATTATTATAGGTGGCTTGTAGCTTTTGGGAACTGTTTGAGGAACTGAATGGTTTGTAGCACGTAAGAGTGTGTGCAGTAAGAAGTCCCAATGACCGTCCACATCGAGTTGGGGGTGAACATCCCAAACCACCTGTTGTACATAGTCGTGTAGAGCTGGTTTATTCAACCGTTTAAAATTCCAACGCAAGTTATTAGTGGGGTATCTTAGCTTAGTTTTGCTGACAAAACTAAAGGCTATGACGGCATGATCGCTTTTCCCCAGGGGAGCCAGGATTGAAGGGTTGTCAACTAGAAATTCTTCGTTTGTGAATACACAGTCTAAGCGCGATGGTATCTGACTGTTTCTCCAACGAGTTGCCGACCTCACATTTTCGTACAATCCCAAGTCACCGATGAGGTTGAAGAACCGAGCTTCAATTGAGTTATCGCCTCCAGTATACGTGTGTTCCGCGAAGTTGACTCTAGGGAGATTTAAGTCTCCTAAAATCAGGATGTGTGTGAAACCGAGACGAGTAGAGCGGGATAGTCCTTCCAGCATACGACTATCGTACTCGATGTCGGCAGTTGGCTTCCTGTAAATGACTCCGACTAGACACCTCGAAGTACTGGACAATCTTACAGAGCAACATGTAGATTCCTCAAGATTGTTAAACTCGAGGTTATGAACTTGATGCACCTCAAAGCAAGAACGTATGTAAACAGCTACTCCGCCCCCAAATCCTGATTTTCTGTCATTGCGGAACAAAGACATCCCAGGTAATGCTAACTCATGGTCCGAGAACTGAGAAGATATCCAGGTTTCAGATATTCCTATCAGATGGGCCTTATTAGCATTGCTAAGTTCACGTAGTTCATCCAATTTGTTTGGTAGACTCGCGGCGTTCATATATGAGCAGTTTATGCTTTCAATTTGAAACGCGTGAGGTTCTTCCTGTTTGTCTGTATGAGCCTTACGTGAATGGAGAGGTTGCCCACCTATATGAGGTTTGCCGAGGTGGTTGGCCCTGTCCTTTACACGTTCTTTTTATCGTCTAGACAGTCCACAAGTGGAATGATCAGCTCCAACTTGCCTTTGTGTTTGGTCCTAGCTTCGTATGGCCTATCCGGGTGCATGTGAATTCCAGGTGGCAGTCGACGTCTGTTGGCACGAAATGCTTCCAGAGTTGCAGCCGCCATATGGGAAGATGGGGAGGTTATCTTCATTAGACGGGGTCTAGAATCACCATCCTTCTTGGCTAGTCTCGTCACATGCTGAGTCAGTATATTTTTGAGCCTCAAGGACTGTTTGGTGAATTTCCATTCCCTGATGTCAGTCTTTGATTGAGTAGGGTCAGTATTTTCCGGTATACCTTGTACGATTATATTCCTCCCGCGGAAAAACTGATCGCGAGTTTCTTTGGGGATGTTCCGGATGAGATTGCGCTCAGAACACGGTGTGTCAGGCAGTATTCTTACATTCCCATCTGATTTCAGTAAATGACTCGCTAGTAAGACATCCTCTACGTCGGTAGCATTCTTAAGTGTTACACGAAGTAGCATCCGGTGATTTTGATGCTTAGATTCCTTTCCCCGAGTGAGCCGTGTGACTGTCAAAGGCTCTATTCTTGCAAGTCCAAGTTTCTTGTTCAATTCTCCCCAGAGCATCCTATCATTTTTGTCCTGCAAACTGAGAGGAAGGTCAGGGTTGTCTTTGAAGTTCATGACTGTGAGAGAGTCATCACGAACCGTTATTGTCGTCCCAGGTTTTCCGGTGCGTTCAGGTTTAGCACCTTGTTGTTTGGGAGTCGAAGCACGTTTATGAATCCTTGGCTCTTTGATGACCGGACAGACAATCTTGGGGGTAGACTGTGCGACCAGATCACCAGTTGACTTCCGTTCAACAGCTGGGATGTTCAACTTAGACTGTGACACCTGGCCCTTTTTAGCTCTTTTGACATGGGTCCAATCACCTACAGAGTTTTTGGGAACCACTGTCGCGTTCAAGGACCTTGAGCTGTGAGACCTGAGTTTGATGAGGGAGTCGAGTACCGTCGTCGTAATCATGGTGCTGAGTTTCAGCGTGTCATCATTAATGCTGTTGCATGCTTCGTCGTTGGTAGACCTGTCGACATCCCTGTTCTCGTTTTCAATGCGCTCTCTTGTTTGTCTACCCATTTTTTGACTGTCTTTTCCCAAGTTTGCCGACAACTTGCTCTGCAGATCTGTCAGTAGGACAATGATATTACTCAGCAAGACTGCATCATCCGTGCTGCACGTAACACATTCCCACTCATGATCCGACTTGCTGAGTCTGTTGTAAGCAGTTGCTGTGAGATCTGTGCACGCTTCGTGGAACCAACCTTTGCAGTTGTCGCACTGCATGCAAGATGTAACAGAAAAACGGCATCCAGGTCGTTTGCATGAATTTATCATGACTGTATTGACGTAAACTGTGTTGTAGATGCTAGCAAAAGCCTAAGACCGTAAAAAATACACTAAAAAACACACTGAAAACGGACAAAAACGGATAAAACGGATGAGATAAACTGAACCAGTCTTTACGTAAAAAACCGAATAGTAAGCTGAGGCAAAACCACAGTTAACTATTAAATTGGGTGAAACTCAAAAAACGTAATCTACCGAACGTTTAGCTTAGGATAGATTCTTTTGGTCAGAAATGGTACTTTTGTTGCGTAGGAACAAAGCAAAAGTTTGATAAATGCAAATCACGTTAGGAATAAACTTCCCGTTCGTAGCACGCTTTTAAAAAAGGCCTGTTATAATGTTTCTAGATGGTGTATATTTGGTGAACCAAATAATTTTGTTACAGAATGTCTTTGACTTTCACCATTTTTGCCTCACCACTTTGTGGATCAATCTCGCTAGTATTAGAAAATCAAAACGATATCAGCACAAGCTTCTATTTTAAGTCTTATTTATGAATGTTCAATTACTTTGAGATACGCTGTTACTGGGGCTCCTACCTGCAAGTTGTGGTGAACTGGAAGACCCCAGTCTATCAAATAACAGTCTCATGTCTCAAACTGACCTCCGCACTTTTCTCATCCAGTTCCGGAGTAGGTAAGTAATGCACAAAGTGCAAGCCATAGAGGTGACATTTG